AATTTCAGGGATATTGTGGTCAATTTATTTTTTACAAATGATTTTTTTAATCTTTTTATTCGATGCACGAATTTTTCAAAAAACAAGCACGTAAAATTTCCAATGATTTTGATTTGAAGAAAATTCTAGCCATTAGATATCAAATTGGATGGCTAGGGGGGTGCATCACAAAATTCGAAAAAAAAAATTTGGAACTTTGAGCCTGTTCAATACTCTTAAAACCACACGATTCGAAATTAGACACCCGATTCGAAATTAGACAGACAATAGCAATTGTCACCTCCTTGTACCAAAAGCAAATGGTCTAATCGTATACTTTTCCGCGTGTGTGTGCGCATGCGTGTGTGTGTATAAAAGATGAGGGAAAATGCGCACCGGTCGAGAAGATCTGAGCAGAGCTCTTCAAATTTGGCTCTTGTGAGAGTCGTCTCAATGTGCTTTGGACCATCCGCGGTTGCAGTAATAAATGGAAGACTGAGAAATAGGAGAGAAAAATGGCAGATCAGTGAAACAACCATACACTATTCTAAAAAGTCCATAAAAGAGAAACTGTATAATAAACTACATAGATCAGTCCGCAAAATCAAATGAATGCGCATAAATGTATACAAACACAGAAGCTCTTCAGCATCTCTCTCTCTCTCTCTCTCTCTCTCTCTCTCACACACACACACACACAGGACCCAGTTCACCTTCCTGTTCAGACTACTGCAATGACAGAAAGGTATAAACATATACAAAACCGTATGGACATGCTTTTTCGACAATTAACCAAAAAAAAATGATCATCTCCTCCATGTCCACTGGAAGTAATATTTCTGAAGAGAACCAGTAAAATGAGAATCCCAAGTTCAGACAGCTTGAACATAACTGTCAAACTACCTACCTAATGTTCGTCTGAGTTAAGGATGACAGCTCCATCTTGGCTTTTTCTGCAGTTTCTGTGAGGCGCTGAAGAGCTTGCTTGTCTTTCAATAAATCAATGCCCTCATCTCTCTTGAAGTTTGCAGCAAGCCAATCTACAACCCTCTATTTCATAGGAAATACAAATACAAATAATACAATAGAATTTTCAGGACCATCAGCAGGAAGCATAAAGAACAAAAGAATTTCTTCTCACAAAAGAGTTAAAAGAAAAAAATTATAATCAATTCTCATAAACAATACGAATGATATCATCAAAGTAACTTTCAGAAACCCAACATACCAAGGGAAAAAAACTCTCAGATACCACTTGTAAATCCCAGAAAAATCTTTACCTCCCAGAAAACCTCTCAGATACCCCTTGTGAATTGAAAATCCCAGAAAAATCTTTACCTCCCAAAAAAAAAAAATTATAGTAAGGGTTTAAAGGAAAAGGGGCAGGAGCGTAGAAAGGAGTGCAGGAAGAACTGAAGAAGGCACTTCAGACTAGTTTATGCCCAAATGCACATGGGTGTCTGTGGTAAAGGAACACATTGAAGGAGATTGCCAAAGCAGAAGAATGCAAAAACAGAAAGAAGATGATAACAACCTTGTCGAAGTCATCACCACCCAAATGAGTGTCCCCAGATGTTGAGAGCACCTCAAAGACGCCATCTCCAACCTCAAGAACTGATGAGACAAAAATTAAATGTATAATCAATAAATGCAAATGAACCTTTTCCAGCAATAACATTTTCCAATTGCCCCAAAAAGCTTCAAATTCAAGAGATGATGGCATCCTGGTGCCACGCAACCACACCAACAAAGTCAACTTCCACCAGAAAGATTGACATTTACAAGGATAGAAACATGTTTACAAGAAAACAGAAGTGAGTTAAAAGTGCAATGCCCAAAATGATAAATACAAGGCATTGCATGACCTAGCAGGAGCATTTTTTTCTACAGTACACAACCTAAAGTGAAAAATATAAATACAAATCGCCAAACACCAAATCTAAAATCAAATCAACAGGTAAAAACATGATGGTGAAAAAAGAATTTAGATACTGGAACATAAAATCTGATATAAGTTGAAGCAGATAGATAAACTTATTCGAAATAAAACCAAAAGCAATAAATATATGGAACACAAGCAAAAGAACAAGTTTGAGAAGGATCACCTCCAAATGTAGTGTACTAAGATGACAGTACCTGAAACATCGAACGTTCCACCACCAAGGTCAAAGACAAGAATGGTCTCATTATTTTTCTTTTCAAATCCATACGCCAGTGAAGCCGCAGTAGGCTCATTGATGATACGAAGAACCTCTAAACCAGCTATGCGGCCGGCGTCTTTTGTGGCCGTCCTTTGAGAGTCATTGAAATATGCTGGCACTGTAACCACTGCTTTGTTCACCTTATCATTTAAAAACTTTGATGCATCATCTACAAGCTTCCTCAAAACCTAAAAACAAGCAATTTTAGTCAAAGAGATGCCCATAGAAATTAAAATGTAACAAAGGACAAAAAGTTTAACAGAGTAATGTTCCAAGGATCAATTGATGAAAATAAAAGATGAATAAGTCCAGAAAGAGCCAGAAATAGCTAACCTGAGCAGAAATCTCCTCCGCAGCAAATTGCTTTCCAATTGCCGGGCACTCAAGCTTCACATTACCATTCTCATCCCTGACCACCCTGTATGAAACCTGCTTTGATTCCTCATCAACCTCAGCCATCTTCCTCCCAATAAATCTCTTCACAGAGAAGAATGTGTTCTCTGGGTTCACCACTGCCTGGCGCTTTGCAATTTGACCAACTAGACGATCACCATTCTTTGTGTATGCCACAACAGAAGGTGTAGTCCTCTGGCCCTCAGCATTTGTAACAATTGTTGGCTTTCCACCCTCCATTGCTGCCACTGCTGAGTTTGTAGTACCTAGATCGATGCCGACCACCTTCTCACATACAACTCTCAAAGGCACAAAACCGGAGCCTTTGTCCTTCCTCATGCATCTAAGGTTTGGGGTTTTGCGAAAGCCATTGTTTAGTTGTGTACCAAAAAACACGGATTTTGGAGAGATGGGATTCTTGGATGGCTTCTTTGATGAGGATTGGAAGCCTGTACCCCCAAGGGTGTGAATCTGTGTGCAAGATGCCATTTTGCTGGATTGAAGGTCTGTAAGTAAAATCAAAAGAAACCATGGCATGAGCATCAAGTAAAAAATATGTAACAAAAGATTCATTGCAACTGTTTTAAGAGAGAACGGCAAGCAAATATCAGCAAAATGACAAAAAAATCACGTTCAAGAATTGAAATATAAGATTTCCACGAGGCAAAACATAAACCTGAGTCACACAAAAAAAAGAAGTCCAGTCAAGCAACACAAAATAATTGACCAAAACCTGAAATACATTATTGACAACTACCATAGTCTCATAGCACATATGAGAACCATAACAACAATAAAAAAAAAATATTAAACAAAAGAAAATAAACAACAGCTACAAGAAAGACTGAGGCCAATTAAAGGGCTCCCTACTCACAAATATAAGCATATAACAGGGATGAAAGCCTCTTAAGAGGCCTCAATTTTCTAATCCATAAATAACTATAACGAAACAAAAGCTTGAAATGACAAAGGTAAATAATTAAGACCAATAAAATATGTAATTAGAACAACATTCCCGGGAATACACCGTTTATTTTTCAATGAAGAGAACATCATCGTCATCAATCTCAGACTTTTCCAAAATATTTGGGTTCGTCACACAAATCCTGGTCCGCCCTTCTACTTTACCAAGGGCCATACACTCAGTGAGGTCATAAGTCCCCATATCTTTTCTCGCTACTTCCAACCATATTATTTTGGCCTACCCCTTGCCCTTTTTGAGCTTTCCTCTTCAACTAACTCGCACCTCCTAATAGGTGCTGCATAAGGTTTGTAATACACATGGCCAGCCCACCTAAGGCTACTTTATCTCATCTTATCGCCGATCGGTGCCATCTCAATGAAGAGACCAAATATTTTATTACGATAACCTGAGGTAAATAAATGGACCAAACACTTTTACTATAGTAGTAGAACAAACAGCATTCCTATGAATGCATCAGTTATTTTTGAATGGAGAGAGCAAATATTTTAATTAGAAGTTATGATAACATGCTTTACTATCCTCGAATGAACCAGCCGAATACCGGTTATTGTGACCAGTTATTGTGTGTCAGTCCAAATCCAAACATGCTCTGAAATTTCAGACAACTTTTTAAAATCTTGTGCCAGCCCAAACACGGAATGGCCACATCATTCTGGTGTCTGCATGAAGTTCAAAAGGCGACACCATTGCAAGTTTGGGAATTTTATTTTTCACGAATTAGTCTTTAACTAAATATCCCAATAGTTATAGCAGTAGACTCAGCAGTAACTCACAGACGATTTACTTGGCAAGAAACTTGCCTGTAACTGGCACTCAAAAATAGCCCAACTAGCACTATGTACTTCATTAACTTCCTACGGGTTACAACGACATTTCTAAATATAGAAACAGGTGCATGCGTATGTTGTGAAAACACAACTACGAGTACATGCAAAACTATTCCCCACCTTCCAAAGCCAAAACATACAAAGATTCATATGCATATATGCACATGTATGAAGCATGCATGCTTATCTAATGAATAAGAGCTTCAAAACTCTGCTGAGCATGGAACTAAGTAACTTTTGGAGAAGAAAATAATCAAAAAACAAACATAAAAAACAGAACCCAGGCAACAGGACAGGAGCGAACCTTAGAAGAAAATCCTCAAAACACTCACAACCTATAATCCTGTAGTTCGTTTAGTCTGCAATGAAAAATAGAAGATTAGATTAGAAAAACAATGAACTTGAGGGATTCAATAAATGTTCATATAGAGTGGTACTACAAAATTTGTATTAAGCATCTTAACAATCCTTTACAATGGCCGTTGGTTATCCATCAACTTCCACAGGCAATGCATTTGCAGAAAAGGCAATACTACAAAATCCATATTGTGAAACTTACAAATCCTTGTCTTCCATCATTACTCAACAAAAACATTTATCACGATTACGTAGTTAGGATCAATAAAAGAATAGTTAATACTTAAGTAAATGATACATATTCACCCAAAAAAAGTAAATGATACAAATTGGAAGGAACATTTCAACCCAAGAAAAAATTGAATCAAGGTTTACAAGCTAGAAATAATTTCTCTTGAAAAAAACCTAAATGTCTTGCAGGTTCAACAATCCACAAACTCTTCTAAGTAATATGCAAACACATAGAGAGTTAAAAATAGCTAGGAAGCAATAACCTCCTGCAAATAAAATAAATAGAGAAAGCAAGATAGAAAAGATGAAATCAAACACAGATGAGCAACACTCGCATTGAAAAATAGAAATTGGTAAGAAACCCCGTCAAAAGAAAAAACTTAAGCACATGTGCATGTGCGTAAGCGTAAGCTCCTGCATGTGAGTTTTGTCAAAGAAAGCACACGGATTTCAATGGAAAGAAAACAGCATAACTAAGAAACTTCATTAACCAGAAAAACCTTTCATGCTAGCTAGATAATAGAAACAAAAAGAACAAAGAGAGGATAATAAAATGTAGGTTATATCAGAGCATAAAATATTTAGACAACTCGATTTTTTATCATGAATAACCAACTACCTATTGTCTAGAAAAATCAAGGAACAAAAAGATAAAAGACCAATAAAAATAGCCAATTGAAAAAGAAAATGATAAAGAAGATAACTGAGAACAAGGTATGGACAATGGTAAGTAAAGAGTCAAAGAGGTCTGAACAAGTGGTGGCAATGCTCCGCATTTTTCTTTCTAGAGCAATAGAAGAAAGAATCGATACAAATAATAAAGAGTAAGAAGGGAAAATAGGGGCAGGCAAGCGAAAGAGATAAAAAGATAATAAAATGAACGGTACGTAGAAGAAAAAAGATGTATGGATACAATAGCAAAGTATAAAAAGGTTAAAATCAGTTTGATAGTCAACCAAGACAAAGCCAAGTTGATTCAGGAGGCTTTTTCACTTAATTTAAATTAAAATGCAAACATTGTAGAAATGGACAAGGAAGCATCACAAAATCCTTTAGTAAGTATTTTCAAAATGAACTTCTTATAGTTTGAAACAACTGCATGCAGGAACATACACAAAATCCTGGAAAGATCAATAAAAAAATTAGGAAAATTGGATCCGTTGATTTATCCAAGCTTTTCATAAATTCAGTTTCATTAGTTTAAATTTGGTGGCCCACCTATTCTAATCAATTCACTATGCAAACCATCAGACAAATATTTCCTCATCCCCTTTTGATTGAAAGAGAACTACAGGAAACTGAAACCATAGCAAACAGAAATCAAAAACAGAAATTATTCTTTCAGGCAGGTGGGGTTCATTAAAAATATAAGTAAAACGTAAATGATAGAGAAAACACCTTGACCCATTACATTAATGGACACAACCACAGCAATAAACAAATAAACCTCGAAATTAGCAAGGAAAAGAAAAGAGAGGAAAGAAATGAAGAGAAGACAAACCAAGCTCCATGTTCTCTATCATAGATAACAAAATGTATGTCAAAATGAATACATAATAGATTTCAGGGGAGTAATAATTATCAACTATGAATAAGCATAAAAAAGTGATTATTAAGGGAGTAAATGCACTCCATTGAAGACAAAATGGTTTCGTAAAATCAGAAATTAAATGAAAAAACACTAAATAAACAAACTTATGAACCAGTGTCAGGACTGGACTGGTGACTGAATCGGTGAGGGCACCAATCTAGTTGGATCGGCTGAACCAGACCAGTTCACTGGTCAAACCATATGCTAAAAAATAATAAATATATCTAGAAAATAAGGAAAAGGGAGGAAAACAAAGACAGTTATGGAAAAATCAGAAAAAAATCAAATAAATTAGTAGAATGTGAGCCTATGAACCACGATATCTTTCAATACATTAAAAATTTTAAATCCTTCTCATGGCGGGGTTTTACTACCATAAAAAATCTGCATAATTAAAGAGAAAATTTCCCTAATATCAGGAGACATATCCAATTATCCCTGAAAAAAATATCTCCCATAATGCAATAATATCAACTCCAAAGTCCAAAACATAAAATTCTTGCTTGGGTGAAATGCAAAAGACTTTTAGACAGAGAGACAACAAAAAAATAGTATATACACACCCCCCAAAAAAGGCCAAAACAAGGCATGTATAAAACCTAAGAAAACCTATTTTTCACGTAGAAATAAATATATAAAAGCATTCCCAAATGAACGCTCTCCAACTCTCTTCTAAACCCCAGTCTTCTCTTTAATTTAATTTGACAAAAGTGCCCCTGAATGATTTGAAAAGGACCAAATAGAACATTGTAACAAGGGAAAAACCCAAAAAAAGTGCTTATTGCAACACATTATCTAAGCTGTCGATGTTCAATATTTTCAT